CCTCTTACGTCAGGCCCGAGGTGCTCTTATTTTAAAAAAATGCGAGAGAGGAAGCATGTCCTAAGCCAAAGCTCAAGCATTTTTCTCTCTCCCCCACCCTCGACCATTGTCAATCCAAAAACGCCTGAAATGCGTCCCCGTTTCACTCGCTGACCGATCCAGATGATGCTCCACTCATTAGCTCTTTCCGTTATAACGACTGCAGACTACAGTTTTACAATTCAACAACAACTCTACACGACACTGCTGTACAGTACGTGCAGTGTGTACAAATCACGATGGCCGGACGGACTTGCCCCTTGCAATTTGGAACAGTACAGTTGGTACAGTGCATGGTGTCCCAGGCAGCGATGCCCACACAGGTCCACAGCTTGCGCGCGTCGTCTCGTTCACAGCAGAGTAGTGCCCTTCGAGGAGAAAGTCTATGTCTCAAGTCTAATTCGCGCCGTCTGACCGCACCCACACGCAATCACCTCAAGAGAAGGGCGCGCTGCCCGCCCGCACGCACAAGCAATCACCTCAAGAGAAGGGCGCGCTGCCCGCCCGCACGCACAAGCAATCACCTCAAGAGAAGAGGGCGCTGCCCGCACGCGCAGGCAATCGCCTCAAGAGAGGGGGTTTATGCTGATTTTCATCCATTTTCATTTCTCCGATTTCAGGTGGCCTGTACAGTATCGGTACCATATCATACAGGCATTGCGTATGGCACTGTCCAGGCCCGAAGTTTCTGCTGGAAACGGCGTGTTGAACGCGTCTTTGCACACACGTGCACACCAACGTGTCATGTTGGTCTTTGCTCACACGTGCTCACCAACGTGTTATGTTGATTGTCGATCGAGCAATCCGGGAATGTCGTAGCTGCCGCTACAGCTCACCGCCGCCTTCACTGCAACACCCGACCGCTTGGAACCTGTCCACGGAAGCTCCTGTAGAGCCACCCGACCTGTATGCAATCTTATCGCAAACCCCACTCCGCTCTGCCACCGTCATGTCAACCCACTTTACATCCTCCAACACGTGGATATCGAACCCTACAGTACCTACCCACTCAGCGTACTTCGCATTCGTACAGTATGCCGCGTCTTTTCCAATATGTCCTGTAAATATGCCATATGTAGACTCCTCCCCCGGACGAACAAGCTGCCACACGGCAGTGGAGGGGGATCCTGGGCAAAACGCATTTCTCTGGCGAGTATCTACGGTCGCACTGCAAAAAAAATTGCAAATCATGACACAGCAATTGCTTCACAACACTTGCTGAGTTGGCCTCTCTTTTTGCCCTCGCATGTACAGTACAGTAGCAACAAATGCAAGTTGTATAAAGATGCTCCACGGACCCCACGACAACAAACAACACGATGTAAAACATGACGTGGAAACGACTTGCGATCGCATGGAGCGCGTCGCTGCCACCTCCTAGTTGACTGCACACCTCCAGCTTTCCGTACATGTTTTGTCCAGGAAACTGCCTGCGTGTCACGAGAAAACTTCTCATTCGGCGGGAGAAATCGACGTGGCCGCCATTTCGGCTCATCATTGTTGAGAGGAGGACCGCTTCGGACAACCTCTTTCTCCTGGCCAGACCAACAAGGATCCCCTTTCTCGTTTTCGAAACCATCTTGTCATCCTCAATTTAATTCACAAAATATTTTCATTTCCCGCGCAAAACCTGTCCCTCCACCGCCTGCTTTCCCCGCGCGCCACCGCCTTCCCGCCATCGCGGCTACCCTATCCTACCCGCGCGTTCATTCTTGCGGCATGCAAAAGGTACCAAGACGTAATCAAGTACATCGAAGTGTAGAGTGCAGATGAGAGAAGCAATATACTACAAATGGGGATTAAAAAGGACTTTTTTTGTTCATCTCGTCTTTTAGTTGGTGTTTAAAAAAATGTACAGTTTGCAGCGAGCACACCTAGCGTAGAAGTCAGAAAGCCCCAGCAAGCAGACCTCGACGTTCCTGCCAAGCGTATGTAGTCTGTGATAGATAATAAATTACGATGAGTTAAATTTCCACCACTTGCTTTTCGGTAGCCGTTGTTTCCGTCTGCTTTGGACCATACTTGTCCATCAGGGCATCGAAGAGTCTCAAGGAAAAAAACCAACCGAGAAGCAAAGTCCCTGCCACTGTGAATGCAGTAAATGCGCCGATTACTCGAGGTGCGGCGTTTATGGTTTCAAGTCGAGACTGAACCAGTGAGCTCATTACAATGGCGACTGGTCGGAAAACAACACCTGCGAATACTCTCGCCACAAACGCGTTCACCCAGACCTTGCGGTCTTCCTGTCTGATAAGCGCGCCTATACGAGACTCGACGATCGTCATGAAAGAGCGACGTTCTTTTCGTAGTACTTGTTCGCGTCTCTGCATATCGAAGGCCACTTTCCTGCTCTTCTGCAGAGGAATCAAGATCGTCCCAGTGAGCAAGCCACCAAGCACACATGAAAAGAACCCAACCACTATCGGCGAAACTTCCGTTGTGAAGAACACGTTGCTGGAAATGGCAAGCGCACCTGCAAAGACGACAGTGATTATCGCATCCTCACTGACAACGTCCAGTAGTAAGCGTCCGAACTTTGCAAGGTTGCTGCTCGCCGGCCTGCGAACGTCTTTGAAATCAATTGTGCCGGTGTACTGCCCAACGTATATAGCTAAGGATTCTGAGACGACGGCGTGGGTTGAACCGAGCACAAAACCAGAAAGCATCCCGGACAGTATAGCCACAAACTGTTGTTTAGCGGTGGCGTCGATGAAATTCTTCACAAATGGTTGACCGAAAATGGATTGAATGACCAGTTCAGAAGATGGAAGAATGAAACCGAAAGTCGTTGCCACAGTTATACCAATAATGAATCCACCTGCCAAGATGTCTGCTATTCCCCATACGAACCACCAGAACCATGTCAGCTCAGATTGGATGAACTCCTCCTTCCCGCCAATGACGTCGTCATAGGTCGCGAGCGGGCCTTCATCAGATAAATCAATCGGGTCTAGAGAGATCTTGCTATAGAATCCGTCTTCAACAACGGACGAGTCCGCGCTGGAGCGACCTTCGGCCATATCGGAGGTGACGTCTTGTTCCTTCGGCTTCTAAGTGAGATGAGGGTTGCCGCGAAGATTCACTCGCGAATAGTCGCTGCACTTCAATTTGGATTGTGACAATGGGCAAAAGCGTATCGAGGAAGCCACCGGAAAGCGAGCGTGTTTGGTTTGTCACAGAATGTCGAGCGGAGGACGCAGAACCAGAATCGGGTAGAAGTAGTAGGCAGTTTTGGGACCCAAGTTGGCGTCGAAGCGATATCGCTGATCCAGGAATGAAAGCGGTGCTTAGTCAAGGAAGGTAAAATGACCTTGGGTGGATAGCTTGCGAAAAGGGGAGGAAGGTTAAGAGAAGAATGAGATGGGACGAGGGGGAAGAGATGAGTTGCTTGGAGATAAGAGAGAGGATTTGTCTTGAAGGCGGCGCGAGGGAATCACGGGTTTATTTATCGTGATTGAGGATACTGGCAAGAGCAAAGGTCCATGGGGAGAAGTACGCAAGCAAGAGGACGGGAACCCCACGGAATTTATGAACCTGCGATGGAAGGATTAACGGTGGCAGGCCACGACACAGTCTCTAGTCTAGGTTTTATTGTTGGTAGCTCTCGAGTGGCATTAGCGATAGTCTATTTGCATCCACATCTAGAGAATCAATAAATTATCAATCTGCTGGCAATAAGAAAAAAGGCGGGCCACGTCTCGCTGGAAATGCGCGACTGAAGATTCATTCTAGGACGCGCACAAAGGCTTCCGGAATGGAGGCTCTTCTGTTTTCCTTAACGGTTATGCGTGGATTGGTGGACACCGCCTTTGACCCTTGCTCACAAGACATGGCTGCCGAGTCTGAAAGCGGGGGTCAAGATTGAGTGTAGCCATGACTGCGTCTGCAGGCTTCTGGAGAAATAATTTATTTTTCAAAAAAGGAGAATTAAGGGGACCGCCGTGCACGACACGGCGTCGGAACGGAATGCTTTCTACGAGGTTCGTAAGGATATTGGACACCCCGCAAACACGGAGATGTTGCTCTCGGGCACGGAAATAGGAGAGGGCGGTTATTTCTCTAGTCAAATAGGGCAGGAATTGCACGCCGTGGTTGAAACAGCGGCATATCGGACTCTTGTGCTCTACAAATGCGAGGAAGGGGTGGCGGGTGGCAAGGCGCGAATAGATAGTATTCCAGTTTTCGGTGCCCGGAAAGAAGTTTTGATATACTGTAGCAGTGCACATGTGAGCCACGATTGATTACGGGGGATACGAGCAGCGTAACTGCTCGTTACTGAATGTGATTAGTGTCGCCCCAAACTAGAGGGTGAAGAAGGGGCACAATCACTACAAATTTGCCATGCAGCCTCTAGAGCTAGAGTTGGAGCAATAACCGCGCTCACCCAGATTCACATCACAGTCATGCGACTTACGGTCCCCACGGCGGTGCCAGAGATTTGAGTGTCCAGACAATCGTCTGTAGAGTTTTAAAAGCACACTGTACGTATTCGACGAAAGTGGTCTGACTGCGTTCTACACTTGAGTACTGTACTGTACAGTCCCCAAAAAGTACAGTGAAAAATCTCTCATATGCAGCCATGATTGATCGGCAAACACAAGCTTCAGGGCATGCGCTGAGAGGGAGGGGAAGATCACAATACAGAATATGAATTCTGTTGGTGCAATTAATTAAATTGACTCCAAGTTGTCACCTTATCAATATTGTGTAATACCCAGGTCCAGAGTGAAGTACAGTACCCTTGGGTATCAGCTTTTTCCCTTTTTGGCAAGGAACTGTGGCCAGGTATTTTTTGGCTCTCCACTTACTGCACATGGGCAAGCGGGGCACAGTCATGGAGGGGTAAAGCCAGCGAGACTCCGCCCAATTGTGGTTGCCTACACATTCACATCCGTCTCATTCAAATTCCATGTTGCCCCCGGCTGAAGCACCTGAGGGCGTGGCATAGAAACAGGAGACCACGGGATTGTGTGGAATGCTTTACAATTAGCTATTACTGTAGAAATACGGCCATGAAGGTCTCATTGCTGCGCCCCCTCCGTTCCGCACCGTTCTCCAGCCACGCGGTAAATACGTAGCGTCAACTATTAGACACAGATGAGGGTTGCCACGATGAGAGAAGTGGACGGAAGACGTGGTTGATAAAAATTGTCCATGTGTTTGCTGTCGACAGCAGGAACTGGCAACTGCTTGCGGTGTGTCATGACACGATGCTGAGCGAGAGGAGGACCTCCACGCCACGGCGCTTGTGTCCTCTTCTGTAATTTCCACATAACGCGCCGTGGACATATTCCGAATCAATATTTTAGAGTACTTTTTGGAAAATAACTACAGTGTACGCGAGACATTCGCCACTCTCGAATTCTTCTGAGCTGGCGGCCTGTGTGGGAGCCAGATCATCACTCGCTGTTTTGCTCCATTTCAATGGTTCACAGTTATTCACGTCTTCTTGTTCAATAAAACTATCTGAGGAGAGGTTAAGCAGCGCTTCTCTCCCTTCTCTATTGTATGTTACTCAATCATCCTCGCAAGACCCCTTACCCCTCACCCTCCTTCATCTTTCTTTACCCTCGACCTTACACACGAGAGATGCTTTAACTTCATTCAAATGGATGGACGCCTTTCTTCAAGAATAGATTACAGTGTTTGATCCTCCAATGTGCCCGATACAGTAAGGGCAACCCTTTCGTCAAACTGTTGCACACAAAACTCGCAAAAGTACCGTACTGTTGCTGACATTATGTGCTTGTACTTGGGTACATCGATGTGAAGACTCCATAGCCCTAGTGAGGCCAAGCTGCAACAGTGGACAAGCGACAAGCCAAAAACCCCAGCCCCACCTTGAGTGAAGCACCTTATGGATGGATATGGATGGCGACAGGTATCATGTAAGGCGCTTGCTCATTGAAATGACGTTTTTCGACGCCGTCGCCCTACCAGTGAATGTACAAGGACAAGTCGAATTGCGAGTAATGCTTTCTGGCTGGCCTCAGGCTTGCAATAAGGCAAAATGACGAAAGGGAGGCAGCTTTGATGACGTACAGGTCTAGGCGAATCATAAACCATTTTCACCAAGGTATCTTACAGTGAACACAATGTGAGAAGAAGATGAAGAAAGTTTCTGCTCGAGTCATGTTCATGTCATGTTCGTGTCTGCCTGCAGCAATAGGAACATGAGACCTGCCTGCAGCTGTAGGACGTGAGACCATGAGGGGTCATGTTCGCATTTTCTCTTGTTTCGGTATCACAATCCAATGTCGCGCTGTGATTACATCTGCGACTGCCTCAAGAAGTTGTCGCCATGTCACCCAATGGCAGTTGCTCGTTCGCCTGCCATTGTGGTGAAGGTTTCCTGAACCCAGTGATGTTACAGTGCGAAAGCTGTTGACAGCTTTGGCATCAACAGCTTTCGCACTGTAGAAGAACTTCTGGCTGGGTTGCGCTACTGTAGCTACAGTACAGCATTCTCTGTACAGCACAGTACAAGACTGGATCAAAAGCATAACTTTGTACCCTTAGGGTACAGAATGAAGATCAATCCTTTCAGGAGGGATTCTGGCGGGTGCGTAGAGAGGGTCTTGAAAGTTTCGACACCCTCTCTACAGTACAGTATGGGCAAAGTGATTTCTCTTGGCGAGTTTTCAACGTGAAACCCTGCTAAGATCAGTTTCACCACGGATGTACACGAACGAAAATACTGTACCCTTCGTTACAGCTTTGACAGGCCCCCTGCCCGACTTCAGAAATGCTTGAGACTCAGCGGGGGAGCGTCCGTATAAACTAATTTCAAATTCCGATGAGGCAAAATGCAAAGGTTAAAAGGCAACCGTCGTTGGCATTTCTATGGTGGTCCTCCTGCCTGCGAAGGTTCTCAAATCAGAATTCGTCTTGTTTGGCACAGTGCGAATGTTCCGGTGTAGCGAGCTGTGCTTCCAGTCTTTCCAAGGCACAGACACTCATTGATGTCCCAAAGAAGTACGCATGCACAGTTCACTGTAAGGAAGAGCTATGAACGTTGCTATTGCAAACTATCCGCTAAAAAATGCGTTTGGTGATAACGAAGCTGGAATACTGTACTCACTGATTGCCCGTTCTCCTTCGGCTTCGGATTCATGTTTGAGGTTTATGTGAACATCTACTGCTGTGCCTCTGTATTTACACGCCC